TCCACCCATCCCAGTACTCTCCTGCACCTGATATCATTATCACCCCCCAACTCCTCCACCCTCCATCCCTACCTGTCACCCTCCCTCCTACCCCTGCTGCTCGTCCCGTCTCTCTCACCTCTCCCTCTGGTACCTGACACATCTCTCACCTCTCCTACTCCCCTCTCCATCCTTTACTCCACCTTGCCCTCCCTCATCCTCTTACCACCCGCCACCCTTTCTCTCTCTGCATATCTGTCCCCTCATTCTCTCAGTTTTGCCTCCTCTACCTCTCTCTGAACCCCTCCCTCTCCGTCCCTCTCCACTTTCTGACACACTATGTGTCGCTGGTGAACTTCCTTCTGTGTTCCATCTGCCCTTTTCCCACCTCTCCCACTCCCTTCCAGCAGACCCACCTACTCAACGGGTGCTCACCATACATGCAGGCAGGCGCACACACGGCCCGGAGCTGTCAACGCACTCCTCAGACGGTCCACGCTCTACCGCAGTTCAACAGCAGGGGGAGCGTCAGGCTGCCGAGGACAGGACAGAGGAGGGGGTGAGAGCAGGGCGGCCCCTCTGCTCCTGCAGAGGGAAACTGAAGGACAAAGCAAAGAGCAAATAAGTTGATCTTTTATTAGAAAAGGATGATCCTGCAACTTAAATTATCCCTGTTTGTGTGTGAAAAAAATAGGACAATGATTAGTCAGTTTATAGATTAGATAGGAAAAAATTATCAAACTACTTTGATAATCATTTATCATTAGTCATTTTCAAGCCAAATATTTGATGGTTGAAAGATGTAAGAATTTTCTGCTTTTCTTGATTAACATCACAGTAAATTGAATATCATTGGGTTTTGTACTGTTGGATGGACAAAACGAGACATGTCAGCTTGTGCTCTAGGATGTTATTGCCTTTTTTTACATCTTAAAGACCAAAGAATTATCTATTAATAGATAGATTAATCAATAATAAAAACAATTGTTAGTTACAGCTTTACATTTATGATTCCATGGGATTTACGAACAAAAAATCAGAATAAGTTATACTGAACCAAATTTGAACAAACATTCTTTTTATCACCTAGTTTTTATTTTACTGTTCTGTCTGGTATCTCCTGCTGTTACAGAATAAGAAACTGTGGTCACTGTGATATTGGGATCTTAAAATGGTTAGACTTGTGATGGTTTAAATGGTTTAAAACTGCTAAGGCTTGAGTGGGGATTCATCCCATAAGGAAGCAAAATCCCCTCCCAGTAATTAGGCTGTTTCTTGTTAATAACATTTGTAGGGAATATTTAAAATTAATATATATCTATGTTAATGTTTTTTTATTTTATTTTTTTTACCACATAATTATTATATAAATTCCTGACAGTCTCACAACAGCAGTACTTGCAGGGATATTGTGTTGTAGTAGCATTAGATTAAGTATTTCATGATTTTCTTTCCAGCCTGTATAGGTTACAGTGGATCTATGACTTAAAGCACATTATAATAGCACTGCTCAGTGTACAACAGTCCTATGATCTGTCTACTGCCCCCACCTGCTGGTTAGAAAGCTATCATGTTTTTGTTACTCAACAAATTGAACCCAGGCCAATTTCAGTGTGTTTATTTGTCTGAGTGTTAATGTGTGTGTGTGTGTGTGTGTGTGTGTGTGTGTGTGTGTGTGTGTGTGTGTGTGTGTGTGTGTGTGTGTGTGTGTGTGTGTGTGTGAGCCTGTGTCTGTTTTATACAAAGAGATGTTCAGTCACTTCCACCCACTTAGTTTCTCTCTATCTAGTTCACTGCGATCTTTCTCCCACACCTATCTCCTGCAACCATTCGACCTAACAATAAAAGAGCAGAATGGCAGCAGACCACTGCATCAGAGCCGCTGGCCTAATGAACTTCACATACTGACAAGCACAAATAATCAGCCGCCCTGTTATAAAACCAGCAAGTACAGTAATAACAGTTTGCTGGCCAGTGTTGTTTATATCACACCGTAGCTCTCACAAGCCACAGGAGGGGAGAGTCTGTGACCTTAAGAGTTGTGGGGCCTGTACTGTCTAATTCCATGTTTATGGTTTTGCCTTTTATAACACACAGACGGAGCTGCCCCGGCCACAAGCACACGGAAATATCATCATGCGCCCTCTCCACTGCTAATTGGTGCCTTGGTACCATCCCTCTGGTGGGGATTCAGCTTTGTGCAGGGCAACCTGAGGAGCACAGCCAATTTCAGGCTTTGCTTCTCTTTCTCTTCTCGTTCTCCTCCGCATGTACTGTACCACTGTCAAACTAGCATTAAAATTGATATTTCACAGCAAAGTTCACATTAACAAAAAGAGAACTGACAAAATAAACTCGTAACATGATATATGTGTATATGTAAATGCATTTTTATTCTGCTGGCACTGCCTACAAAGAGACCATTATTCTTTAAGATTTGCACAACCTTGCTTGTTCACATCCATTTCTGACTAAACAGTCCAAAAAAAGTATAAATTCACAGAGAATATTTAAATCCTATCTCCTCTGTGGGTGTCTTTAATATTATTAGATACACATACAATGCTAAGAACAGGGAAAACAAGAAGTAAAAAATAATCTTAAAGGATTTCAATTTTTTCAAGTATTGCGTGCCCTACAATAAGTGCTGACATTTTTAGAATATTGAAATTATATAGCAGTTCAACATTATAGTTTCCTTGGCAACAGGGCAAATTACTTTGAATCTTATCAATTTATATACATTAGCTTCAAACAAGCTTCAAACCTCATCACTGATTTAAAACATAAGATTTATAAGACAGAGAATTAGTTATTTAAGTTCTGTCACTTTTCTAACATTTTTGCTTTGACAGAACATCAAAGGTTTTATTATTTCCAGACACATATCAAAAGAAGAAAGCTATAGGTGAGTTAATGTGAGAAGAGATGATAGGAAATGAAGCATCTGCACAGAGAAAACGCACAGCAGTATGGGAGGGAAATGGAGGACTTGTGGTGCTGCGGGTGATGTGAAGAGGACAACAAAGTAATTATGGGATGACTAAGGATAGACACAGAACTGGGAGAAAGGAGTGGGGAGGAAAGGGAGACTGAGGAGAAAAAGATGGGTGTGGGGGAGTGTAGTAACCTGCTGGAGTCTCCATCACACCATGATACTTAATTAGCCTCTGACTGTGGTGGCGAACATATTCTGTAGCCATCTGGAGCAGAGGGGAAGTTTTTTCCACTCAGCTGTCTGCCTTCCAGTCCACTTTCAGACTGTATCTGCCTGCTTTTTCATACAGAATTAGTTCATCTGTCCGTATTGTGTGTCATTCTGTCTGTTTCCTGTGTGTCTAACTGGCTATTGGAAGCTCTGTGTTATGTTTACATGCAGGTTTATCCGTCAGTCAATCTGTCTGAGCTCTATCATCCAGCTGTCTACCATACTGACTAAGGACCCTGAGGTATATGTGGTATATTCATAATATGTACACATATGTACACACATCTACAGAATCACACACACACACACACACACACACACACACACACACACACACACACACACACACACACACACAAAAAGCTGCATTTTTCACATCATCCACAAGGGGTCGTGATTACATTGAAAAGATTCTTAAGCAGAATTTGTAATCACACTGTTTGAGTATTGGTAATTCTGTGAGAGCCATTACGGCAGGATTTTAGCTTGAGAAATATGAATGAAAGGTAACCTATTTTAAAATGGTTATTTTAATAAAAGTCTGCTTGCACATGTGTGGCACCAAAACATTCCCTCCTTAGTCACACCCCTATGTATACTGTCAATGGTTACACCTCAGATCTGCCATATACCTACTGTGTTTTATTAGCCAACTACTCCATTAACTATTAATTACTTAACTAACAACAAGGTGGACCTACTATTTAGAAAGAGAAGAGGGGAAGTTATTTACACACATTTTTGTGGACGTAACAAATAAAGGAAAGAATACCACAAGTTAGTGATCAAAATATTCCAACAGTTGCTGCTACTGGTGGCTGCAGCCACGAGGCCAAAAAAGTGACAGGAACTGCACTGTTTTTAATTTTACTGTCACATTAGGGCCTGTAACCCTACATATTGCATATTTTGAATGAATATGCAGAAAAGCTTTAGAGTTTCAGATATGCTATAAAATAGTCTCAATGTTTGGCACTATATTCGAATTTCACATTTTACTATGTAGAGAAAAAGTTAAAAAAGTTAAAAGATAAAAATGATTCTGTTAGTTGTCAATTTAGATGTGTGTAAAGTCAATTTTATAACCTCACAATTTATATAAATACATATGAGGATAACATATTTTTGTAATTTACATCAGGACTATTTGGGCTACAATTATGGATTATGGATGGATTTACATAATAAAGATTTGTGTGAGGCTTTTTTCTCTTTTTACTGAGTTGTACAAAGGTCCATACAAATGTAAACAATCATTCTCATAGAGTCTACAGTAGAAGCCAAATCTCTTCTGTGAAGTTATAGCACAAAGTAACAGAGCAGATAACACAGAAGCAAATAAGGACCGACAAAATAAATACAATTCCTGGTATGGACACATAAAATAAAACACAAAATAGAGAAACAAACTCAGTAACTAGAACCAGATTGTTGGAGTGTGCCTTCATTTGCCGAGAAGAAGAAAGAAAACAAACGAAAGAAAAGGACAAGAAATGACATTAAACTAATGATGGAGGTGTAATGTACACCCATCTTTTCAAAAAACAAAAAAACATTTTCGTGTGATTCTTTTAAAGTATTGTTTTCTAAATTAAAAATACAATTAGTCTAGATAAAATGAGTTTTGTGCTAACATTTCTTTTTATTTAATTAAATTTTAGTTACCTACCTGGTGCTGTATTAAAACTGCCCTGCAGCTAGGGAGGCACCTATAGTGGATAGTGTAACAAGTCAAACCAGTTAATAATCAACCACCTTCTTAAACAAGACCCACTTTAATACTAAACCACACTTCCCACAATGCTTCACTCCTGAGTGCACGTGTCAGCGCTGCCAGCAAACCGGACTGAACGTCACATTCCTGCATTCCCTTTTTCCTCAGTCTGGGACGTCGGAGTTAGCCACCACCAGACAGCTAATCCTCTTCCCCACTTCTCCTTTTGAGAAACGCACCCATGACAAGGCGGATTTGATCTCAGGAGGTGATCCCGGGTTCCCCAGGAGTCAGAATCTCACTTCGGGTGAGGATTTATCTCATTTTAAGCCGGTGAAGGTGTCTGTCGCTCGGAGTGCTATAACCGTGGTAACCAGATAACAGTTTTATAAGATGCGCTGGATTCGCTGCGAGTTGTCGCTGCGAGTGACCTGCTTTATGGTTTCCCTTCAACGGGCAGACCTGTTGATATAGCGCAGTTGACGGGAGGGCGAGTTGAATTAGTAATGCGTGGCCATGTTGTTTACTGTTGTACTTAAAGAGCTAGCTAACGTTAGCCCGGCTGGTTAGCCGCAAAGCTTGCGTCACCATTGTTACCGGCGATACGCGGGCACCAACCAGGGTGTGGAGGCGCCTCCAGATGTGGCTTTGTTACTCTGACAGGGGGGACATTGTGGTGCAGTCAGTTGGATAACGTTGCTACAAACGTCCTGTGAAGATACAACACTTGGCTAACGGATACACACAGTGCTAGCATCCCAGACAGCATGGGCGTGGTTATAGGAGTGTTAAAACAGGGGCAAACTGTAGCTAAGGTTAATGACTGAATCGCCCCCGTTTCAATTAGTTTGGTTTCAGTATCTTGCAGGGCAGGGCTGGCAGGAATGGCCGTTCAAAATGTTGGGTGTCAGTCTGCCCCGGAAAGGAGCTGAGCTTGCTGCAGTTCAGCAGCCTGTCTCAGCTGTTGACCCTAACAACAAAGAGAGGATCACAGCTGCTGATAGCCTGTGGCAGAACAGAGTGAAGTCACTGATATACCTTGAAGTCACAGGTTACATAGGATCCGTCCGGATCTCCTCTGAAAGCTGAAACAAATCCAAGCAGCTATTTAGGTAGTTGGTGTGCGTGATGTTTGATTCATTAGTACCAGATGGGACAAACCTAAAACCATTAATGTGTGCCTAAATAACACTGTCATTGCCACGTTAAAAAATAATGCAATAATACATTAATACTCAGTTGTAAGTTTACAAACTTTCATAACTAAATGCTAGGAGTTCTGACAGACTGCTGTTTTCAGGTTATATTTAAGTTCGGTTTGCTCATAACATTCCTGAGATTCCTACTGTTCAGAGACTGATTGGATCACAGTGACTTTAGCGAGGTAGAGGAATGTCTGCGTGCCACCACAAGTCACACAGAGACAGAGACCCTTCTGACTTGAATGAGACATGTCTCACTTTCATGATTTTTCCTAGACAGACAGCCTTTTTCTGGTGGAGAATGGATTAATGAATTGATAATCCAATTTATCCAGTCCTGCTGAGAGGAAAATGTGTTCCTTTTGATTAATTCACAGCGTATGATCCCTTCCCAAGCTCACCGCCTGACTCAAGTAGAGGCACATGTTAATTCATCAGTCTGCCTAGTTGCAAGTCAGGTTCAGCCAGTGTCTCATCCTGAGCCCTGTATTCATTGTATTGTCATTTAACTTGGCTAAGTGCCTAGAATATAAAGTCTACCCAGACTGATGAAGTTATTTGTTAACTCACTTACCTTTTTATGAACAGGACGCTGTCAAATGTGTAGAAAATAATTTTTAAAAATCTATTATTTCTGAATTAAATGTCAGTAGATGGAATGTAATCATATTCCTATTTTGGTCGCGCGTGGGCCAAGACATACTTGGCCATCGTGGAGATGGAGAATGACTGTTTGTAACTGAAAAAGTGCCAGTGCTTGAAAGAGGGGCCTGTGCTTGTAGGACATTTTAGGGCATGGATAAAAGTGTATGTAAGGATGTAAGTGTGAAAGAAGCCACTAAACATGTACCCATCTGGTGACACTGCTGAAGAGGCAACAGCTGACCAATCTAGAAATCTAGATAAGATGTTTACACTTGTGAGGTTGTTCCATTAACTAATACTTATTAACACAGAGTAAAGCACTGTAGGTGATTGACCCTGCTAATGTTGCATACATGTTGCATCATGTTGTGACAGTGGCATGAGGTATTGTTACAGTCAGGAAATATTTGGCATGCACATTAAGATGTTCTGTGTCTTATTCAGATTCACAATTCTTAGATCGCCAGTTTGTATTGTATTTATTGCATTTTATTCTGACTTTGTATTGACTTGTATAGATCGCTCTCGCGGATGCACATCATATACGACTGATCCATGTATAAATGAATCAGGTTTTACCCAAACCTTACATGTTGATGTGTGCTCGGTGACTAAACAGCTTAATCACCTCATGACAAAGGTGGTATGTAAAATGAAAGTAGCATTCTGTTAACATCCTCTCCCATTAAACTGATCTAATATATGATCTAATCTGTGAAATAGCAGGTACTTGATCAATTGTTGGTGCACCCTTATCATGTAGCTTTCATTTTTTAGGACCTCTTCTAAATACATCATAGCAAAGAGTCCGATTTACTCTTTGAAGTTAACTGTTGAGCCATGAGATACAAAAAACAACGATGACCTTGTCACAGTAATAGAAGAATTAGTATTGCTGATGTTTAAACTTGGCCTGAAATTCAGCTAATTTGGACCATCTAAGCGGAGTCAGTGCAGTGTCATCGCCCCAGTGATCTGCAGTCCCAGCACATGAGTGCTGTATTGATGGGATTAATTGATGAATGAATGAAGCTGTGAACTCTGCACTTACTGCTCAGAGATCAAACATTGACAGGAAATAAAAGATTTGAGTAGCAGCATGCAACTCTTCTGTCCCTCATGGGTTAGTGTTTTGGGCTTTGACACGCATGCCCAGTTCTACGCATGCAGTGTTTTGAAGAATGTGGAGGAGGAGTGAACACAGCTGCATGTTATGGAGAGAGTGGGAGTAGCCTGCAGAAAACTGGAACACCCTGACTCAGCCTGCGTAGCAGAAATGTATCCTCTTTTCAGTGGGAACGGCTGCTCATTACGGTGCCCGAAGTGTATGGATGAGTGAGTGGGAAAAGAGAAAAGGGGGGATCACATGGGTTGCGATTGAGGAAAAGCATACGATAGCTTTGTGAGAGGAGAAATATCAGGTGATGGTTGAGAACATAAGGCCTTTAGCTTAGTGCAGGAATGCAGAGTAGTTCTCTAGCAAATTACATAGCCTCTATCTTTTGGAAACAAGTAATTGCAGGACTATTGTCACAGTTGTGGTCTTTCTATGGCCGACCTTTTGTTCTCTGTTGTTTTGTCATCATCTCATGTGTTCAACCCTAACCAGTAATGACCACAGCTCTGTTGCTAACCTTTGTTGCCTCTCTTTTCACTTTCGTTGCCATTCAGCTCTGAGGGCTCAGAACTTACCTGCACTCCATACATGTTGTGAAGCTGAATTACACACCCTCACTTGATCATTTGTGTGTGTGGATCTGGACAGAATAGCATTGTTAGTTCATTGTCCAAACAGTTTCACAGTACTGCACAGGCCCGATCCTCTCCCATTAGGTCACTACAGGGGCATAGAGGGACAATGGGTCTATTGTTTTAAGTGTACGCACACACATACACATACACATACCCTTGGACCCCCCTTTGTGGTATGTGAAGGCTATCTTCTACTGTTCTGTTCATTTAGTTTCAGGCCATTCAGTTCACACTGTATGAGTAAACACATTTACTCACAGCAGCTTGTTTCACTGAATTGGAGGTGGGAATCGCGGCAAACTCCTTTCAAGGTGGTTTGTAATTTTAGCTCTACGAACACATATTGTACCTGTTACAACTTTCTGTAAACGCCATATTCTCATTTACAGCTACTATTGTTCTATCAGCAGAGGAGGTTTTATGTGTTTTTGCATTTATTTCAGTGACATTTTTCATGTATACTGCCTGATTTTCTCCATGCAAGTGCAGCAGTTGATTTCTACGATTAGCTTCTGATGTTGTGGATAAAGAGATGCTTTTGATTTCAGGTCCATGCAGCCACACCCCTTGCACCGTACAATGACACTCTGGATGTCCTGAGACTTCATGCTGAATAGGATCGGAGTCAATTAAGGAGTTCTTTTTAATTAGTTGATCGGTACTGGCTACATAAAGTCTGATATTTATCCACCGCCTTGCAAGTGAGAAGGACAGCAAGAAGGAGCAGCAGCAATGTGAACAGAAACACTTTGAGTTGAAAACTTTGCCACTGCTTCAGCAACATTTTGTAGGAGCACCACTTGTTTAAAAATTGCATTTTATTCATTCTACGGAAGAAGAGCAGCTATACAAATCTTGTCCAAATCTAATTAAATGTGTCACATACTCGTACTACATGTTCAGTAGTGTAGTACTGGGGGAGTATACTCCAAAGGACTTTGGATGGATAACGTTTCTCTGCAGTGCCACTTTCTTGCATCAATATGCGCATTAGATATACAAAGTTGCAACAAGTCTGACGTTTTGCCGTTTGCAAAAGATTAGAGTTGTGCAGCAAAATCTGTTTGTTGCTCAATCTAACTTATTTGCTAACACACATACTCACATATGCTAGCATGTAAACTGAATGATAAGACTCAAAGAGACCATGCCACTATCTTGCTCTCAAAAATAGATTACTCCAAATTGTATTTAAACCCAAGTGTGAGTTTGTTAAGCCAGTCAGTAGTAGACCAGATTAGACGTATTAGCAGCTCTCGCTGCATGCGGTGAGAACACTGACTACGACTCCCAACTTGGGAGACTGGAGCTCATGTTCTGCTCTGTTTGGGTTGTGTAGATTATGGTTCTTACTGTTTGGTTGTTGTGTAACCATATCAAAGGCTGCAATTCGCTGATGGCTCAGAGCTTGTTTTACTTTGTTTATGATCTGTGTTGTGTTATTTTACTATGCCATGAATCAGCCAGTATGATTTGTAAGGAGTCTATTCAGAGAGAGAGAGAGAGAGAGAGAGAGAGAGAGAGAAAAAAGTAAATGAGGTAGTTTAAGAAAAGTTCTGGATGTTGCTATACCATACCTTGCTCTAACACCATTCACCTTTGCATGCCTTCTGAACTACCTAAGTGAGTATGTGCAGGCACTTCTTTTACATTATCCAGAGTATAAATGAAGATAACAGCATTTTTTGAAAGCTATTTTTCCCTTTGC